TAAAGTCCTTAGTAATTTCAGTAACGTTTTTGACAAACTTGTTGAAAGATGTTACTTCTGTTGGAATTATTAGTGTCTGGTATGTTCTAGCACTTCAGAACGGGACTGTCAATGCTGCCAAAGGAATCTCGACTTCTCTAGAACATCCAGGAAATCGTTGAAGAGATGACAATTGTGTGCCGAGAACGCTTGGCCTTGTGCATTACCTGCAATCAATAATTTATGAGTTTTGTCTCAAGCTCTCTCCACGCGATATCCCCTGTTTTATCACCACTTTGGAAGTAGATCAGTTAGTTTAAGGAACCGTTTTTCCTGAATTACTTTGCAAGAGGCTAACTGTACTGCTTTGCATCTGCCTAGATTTCAAAAAGAACTACCAGTGTAGTCTCAGCTAAAAGTCTTCGACTGCAAAGTCTATTCAAAATCATGTTCTCATTATTATAGTGCACTCCATAATAATTAAATCTAGGTTTTTAAGGACTCAGTTGCAACATGTGGCAAGCTATGAATCTTCTACATTCCAGCACAGCTTGAAGAATTAGTTCCACTGCTATGATAGATCTGACAACTAAGTTACTCAGATTGCATTCGATTCAGTCAAGGAGAAGGGGGTTTTATTAAGCTAGCAAGATATGTTATAGAACTGCAATTTTCCTTCACATTGCCAATTTTGGGAGATCAAAACACCAAGGAACTGATTAAACTTTGTGCCCAAAATAACTTTCAAGCTAATAGGAGTGATATTTGTTCTCACTTGGCTTAGAAATAACCTATTAGAAATGGTTATCCCTAGACAATACAAAAACAGTGCTGCGATGGATTTTGTTTTGTTGAACAACTAGTGGTTCCAAGCTTGATATTTTAAATTGTCTCTTCTGCCAGCACGAATCGCTTGCCTTAATAAGCTCCTCAAATGGGAAATAGATTGTTCATTTTCTTTATATTGCTTTCTAATTAATGTCTTGAGTCCCTAAAATCCCTCGTTTTAATCCTCTCCTTTAAAAATTTGAATGGCGCTTAGTTTGCTTGTTAAGTTCCTCTTTCCCGGGCAGGTTTTTCATTTTATTCTGGCAGGGCGTGCTAGCAACCATTGTCATAACAACGAAATCATGAAAAACTGCAATTGGGGTTTTATTAGCCAGCCTTCTTCTGTCATTGACTTTTCTATTGAGTCCCACTTTCAAAAAAAACATGTTTCTTAAATAGCAATTAATGCTTTTTTAATTGTGCAACTGTTGACATAAATTTAGCAATTTTATTAAACCATCATACTTGTATTTCTTAGCATTGTCAGGATGTGATATCACATAACAATCTCCAGGAGGGACAAAACTGGAGATTTGCATTCTGAAAAATTTTACGAAATCGGCTAATATTAACGTCAAGAAAGAATAACGTGAAGTGTGTCGACAAGAAATTGGAAAGAAATGAAGTTAGTTCGTTACTTCTAGTTCTACGTTTCCAATTTCTCATATTGCTACTTCCATTATGGCTAATAATACTTGTCAATGATGTTCTGCGCTCATTTGCCAGCTATTTAGTTATACGTATTCGGGTAATTTTCTAATTCCGAATTCTGAGAGAGTCTAGCATTGTTGTCCACGTGGTGCACCCTGGGGAACGTATACTCATACGGCAAAAAAGTCTATTGACTGGCAGTTGACTTCAAACTACCATGAGTAAGTCTATTAACTGGCAGTTGACTTCTGAGTTCAAACTATCATGACCCCAAGTCTATTAATCGGCAGTTGACTTCTGACTTCAATTACCATGATCTATTAACTGGCAGTTGACTTTTGACTTCAAACTACCTGAACCGTCTGTATGTCATATTCGGCTCCTTCCTTTCTCTGCCTTTGTGGCTGTCTGTCTCTTTTACACCTGTGAATCACTCTTCTGTCCCCCCCTCTTCTCGACTTTCTTTCACTATGATGTTCCTTCCCCTCTGTGAAGCCTGAAGTCAGCTCCAGGGCTAATGATAACTATCAAAACTCCCGCCATTTGATATAAATAAATAAACTTCGAGCATTGCGATTATTAGATGAATTTCGACTCAAGCACACACACACACACACACGAATGAAAGTATTAAGCATGCAAAAATTAAAAAAAGTAATAACAGACCACACGGCCACTAGGCCCTCAAAAAAAGTTGGATGAACGATAACATACTCTGATTTTTGGGAGAGTTGGACAGTAGTCTGTCCAATAAATTCACATTGGACTGTGCTGAGGACTTCGGAGCAGCCGAGAGTGAAGGAGATTGATTTCGAGGAGAAAGTGAATCACCAATGCCCAAATTCAAAAGATCCTGTTGCAGAAGTTCGTGGTTGGTACTCGGGGACATTGTTAGCAGGTCATCGGCTGATGTATTTGAAGTCGGTTGAGAAGCTGGAACATAAAAACAAATAAAATACTCTATTGGTAAAAAAATTACTTAATGCATTCGTGATGGCCTCTTGAATTCCCAATTTAAGTGTCGTTAAGTAGGACTTGTAAAGACTTCCTAATTCTCAAATGGATTAAACTTTCACCTCTTGAACTCAAAATAAATCAGTCATGACTAGTCAACCCAGTTTCAGATGCTACCTCGTGTTGTTTTATAAGCAATGAATCTCTTTCAGCAGTGATTGTTTTCCACTCAGGTATTGCGGTGAAAAAGTGCAAAGAGAAGATATAATTCAACTGCTATTGTTCCTAATAAATATTTGACAGTTCTCTTTCTTTTGTTTAACAAAATGGAATCAATTTATCAAAGGAGAGGATTGAGACTGTTAGGTGAGTAGTCAAGAGACGGGTCTTTCGCCATGAAAATATTCGACTAAAAGTTTAATAAACCCAGCCCTCCAATAAGACCGTCCATTTAATCAAATTACTAATCCTAGGATTTAATTACATAAGTAAACATATAGCTATGTTGCAAAAGGCTTTTGAAAAATAAGCATTATGCGTATCTGAAGAATCATTTGAAAGATACATTAAATCGAACAATTTTTTGTTTAATTTTCTCACGTGGCAGGCGATTTTCGTGCTTGTCTACTAAGAATATGGCGGGATCTTCAACTGTAGAAGGGGGTTTGTGTAGGACTTCAACTTCATACCGTTCAAGAACACTGGATGCACGACTGCATGTTTCGATAACATCAGCTGAAAAAAAGGGGAGAGAACAAGTTGCGAAATGCAAAATTTTCGGCTACTGAAATGGGAATCAGTAGGTAGACTCACTCAAAAATCCCTCCACACGATCATCATCGGTGAGAGCCAATTCGAAGATAGTTGGGCGTGTCCGTTTAATATTCGCCACTATCTCCTTCAAAAAAAAATAATAAACAGGCGAGAAAGGAAATATTGCATAAAATTTCTGCAAAGCTAAAGAGCTCTCTTGACTGATGTGAGTGGCTAAACTTATTCTCCTACCCAATAAAGGAAACGGTGTCTATATTACTATAGCGCATGGGAAAGTCGCTGCAATAGGGTGGTGTAAAGATTGTTATAATGGATAAAAATATGAGGATTGAAAGGAATTTAAGCGTATAGACATTCCTCAATTTTGGTTTTTCAAACCGGATACATATATATATATATGTTTAATGAGTGGGGTGCGCGATAGACTTACCTCCACGTGGTGCACCCTGGGCAACGTACGATAGACTTACCTCCACGTGGTGCACCCTGGGCAACGTACTTTCTTACGGCAAAAATTCTATCACTCGGCATTCGTTTTTCAATAGACTTACCTCCACGTGGTGCACCCTGGGCAACGTATATTCATACGGCAAAGTCTATTAACTGGTAGTTGACTTCTCCGCATACGGCAAAAAAGTCTATTAACCGGCAGTTTTCTTCTCACTTCAAACTACCATGACCCCCCTATATGTCCTACATTCTCATACGGCAAAAAAGTCTATTAACCGGCATTTGACATGACTTCAAACTACAATCACCCCACTGTATGTCAAATTCGACTACTCCGGCAGTTGACTTCAGCTTCAAAGACAAAAAAGTCTATTGATCGGCAGTTGACTTCTGACTTGCAAAAAGTCTATTGATCGGCAGTTGACTTCTGACTTCAAACTACCATCACCCCACTCTATATCATATTCGACTATTTTTACAGTACTCACCTCACCTTTGTCCATATTCGACCATTTCACAGTACTCACCTCACCTTTTTTCTTAAATTCGACCACTTCAACAGTACTCATCTTACCTTTTCTCTTCGACTTCTCACTTCAAACTACCATCACCCCACTGTATGTCAAATTCGACCCCTTCCACAGTACTCACCTCACCTTTGCTCTACTGTCGACTTCTTCCACAGTACTAACCTCACCTTTTTTCTACCTATTTCTCACTTCAAACTACCATCACCCCACTGTATGTCATATACCTCTGACTTCAAACTACCATCACCCCACTGTATGTCATATTTCACCACTTCCACAGTACTCACCTCGCCTTTTTTCTACCTTCAGTTGACTCTGACCCCACTGTATGTCATATTCGACTAAGGCAGTTGACTTCTCACTTCAAACTACCACCACCTCATGCACTATGGGCAACGTATACTCATATGGCAAAAAAGTCTATTAACCTGCAGTTGACTTCTGACTTCAAACTACCACGACCCCCAAACTTGTCATATTCGACCCCTTACACAGTACTCACCTTACCTTGTCATATTCGACTACTTTCACAGTACTCACCTCACCTTCTGTAACACTCTGCCTTTGTGTCTCTCTCTTTTACATCTATGAAACACTCTTCTGTTCCCCCCCCTGCCTTTGTGTCTGTCTTCTTTTACATCTATGAAACACTCTTCTGTCCCCCCCCCCAATCTTAACCTTTTTCACTTTCTTCACCTTTTTTCTACCTTTGTGTTTGTCTCTTACATCTTTTAAACACTCTTTTGTCCCCCCCCCCATCTCGACTTTTTTCTCTTTGATATTCCTTATTTTTTCTACCTTTGTGTCTGTCTCTTTTACATCTTTGAACTTCTTTGTTCTACCTTTGTGTTTGTCTCTTACATCTTTGAAACACTCTTCTGCTCCCCCTGTCGGATTCTTCTCACTTTGATGTTCCTTTCCCTCTGTGAAGCCCGAAGCTATAGCTAATGATAACCATCAAAACGCTTGCCATTTGATATAAACAAATAAATGCTTAATGAGTAGTTCGAATTCCGAAATACAAGTTTCTTGTCATGTCCAATTGATCATTATGGAGAGGGTTTTTGCTCATGATATCCACAACAGACAAACAGATAAGTTATATAACTCAAGTGAGGACATTTTTCATTGTTGAAATTAAACTATTAGTGAATTCCTGCAGGAATCCTTCCAGAAGAGTAAATAGAATTTGAGCGCTGAAATAAAATCAAAATTGAAGAGAGCCAAAAGCCACAATCATTTCACTGAATGATAATTAGAGTAATGTATGGAAGGATTTAACATGTGTGCGTGTGCATTGTTCATGAAATTGTTGTCATGATGTAATTTTATTCTTAAATAAGCAAAGTAATATATATATATAATGAAATGAAGCTGTCCCACCACCAAATCCTGCCTTTAAATCAATAGAAAATTAAGTTATGCACACTTGAACACAGGGGGGGGGGAGCTGAACGTACCTCCATAACATCTTTATCCGAAGACGAGGAAGGAACGTTGGGATCAAAGCATCGAAGCATTTCTTCCAGCAGACTGGTGTTGCTTTTGAGAGTCTCCAGCTCCAAAGCGCGTCGAGATCGCTTTTCCATCCGCGCGTTTTCCTGCAAAAAGGAGGAGGAGGCAAAAGACCCTTTAGAGAGAAAGGCTCTTGAAGAAAGGCTTCTCCTTCAAGGCTAAAGTCAACGCTATTGATGTACACGAAAGCTTCCAATTGAACCGGCAAAGCAAGCGCAATGCACAAACACGTTTGCAACAGAATTTTTGGACGGCTCATGAGGCATACTTACCAGGGGAGGGGGGGGGGTAATTAGTGCAAATAATAACATTACCCATCTAATTTATTTCGTACACTCGAGGTGGGAGATTTTCGAATTCTATATTTCAATCAAAAATTGCGCCCACTTAGTAACACCTTAGAAAAGAAAACGGTAAACCTGTAATAATCCGAACACAGGAATGCAGCAAAATTAAGCAAAACGTCGATTTTCTTCGCGTAATTTCAATAACAATATCTTTGAGCTTGGGGTGTGCGATAGACTTACCTCCACGTGATGCCCCCTGGGTAACGTGTACTCAAACGTCAAAAAAGTCTATTAACTGGCAGTTGACTTCTGACTTCAAACTACCATCACTCCACTGTATGTCATATTCGACTATTTCCATAGTACTCACCTCACTTTTTTATACCTTTGTGTCTGTCTCTTTTACATCTTTAAAACACTCTTCTATTCCCCCTTCCCTCTGGACAGTTTCTCGCTTTGATGTTCCTCTCCCTCTGTGAAGCCTGAAGTCAACTAAAGGGCTAATGATAACCATCAAAACGCCTGCCATTTGATATAAGTAAATAAATAAAGTTTTAAAAATGGGAAACGTCTTTCAACACGCGTCTTTAATTTGAAAAGCTTCCTTATCCTACCTTCAATCTTTCTAGGAATCTTAACTGCTCAGAAAGCTGAACCAATTAGAAAACAGGGTATTTTGGAAACGTTAGTAAAAAATATGCAAATGGATTCTAATGTGGAGAATAACCTTATTGTCTGAAATATAGTTCCTCATCATCCATTGGAGCAATCTTCAAAGTTCCCTTAATTCCGATCCCCTTATCAGATAAAGAAAAAGAAGAAAGATCTTATCACTTGTCAAGGAATCTATTAGTTACCTAATTGATTAATTATTGCCCCAATGGTGGGACAATTTTCCCAGTCAGATCCATTGTAATCATGTTGTATTGGTGTAGTTCCTGACCTCAATAGTTAAACGCTCAGGAATGAACAAATAAAGCGAAACAAACTGATTTGCCTTCGACCTGTCCTGTTACCTCCTTCACACTTACAATTCTCTTCTCGTTCACTTCCACTTGTCAACCCCACTCTTGGTGCTCTCAATCTGGAAAGGTACTTGCATTCTATTGTATTCCGGTTTCATGGGAAGCTGATTAATTCGATGAAGTTCTTAGCGTACTTTAACTATGAGCAATATTAATTTAATCCCTTTTGACGAGATATCTTCCGATATTATTTATTTAATTTACCTAGGCTGTTTTCAATCATTTAAGTTGGCAAATCTTAATAGTTGAGAACTCCGATTTTACCAGTAAAGTTCACCGACGCGTTGGTTACAAGACTGGTCATGCAGATTCTCTCGATTTTCGAGAGCTCTCTCACTCCTTGCCTCGCTGTATTCTTCTTTCTCCATTTTCTCTCACGCGCGCACCGTCTCTCACAGTTTTTAAACGCTGTTGCTGCTTGGTAAGTTCTACTTTACTCACTGTGCAATATTCAGAAGCTTGAGGAGGGGGGTGTGCGATAGACTAACCTCTATGTGGTACACCCTGGGCAACATATACTCATACGACAAACCGGCAGTTGACTTCTAACTGCCAACTTCAATGACCCCACTATATGTAATATTCCTCCAATTCACGGTACTCACCTCACCTTCTTAATTGCCTTCGTCTTTGTCTCCTTTACATCTCTGAATCACTCTTCTATCCCCCCCCCTCCCCCTCGACCTTTCGTGACTTTGATATTCCTCCTCTCTATGGAGCTCGAATGTCAACCAAAGGGCTAATTATATAGCCTGCCAATTGATCTAAATAAATGATCAGGAGCTCTGAAAACCATGACTATCTCTTACTCTCATAAATTGGTGACCCTTCGAGGACTCTAACCACATTCAGGTTGCGAAAACTCTTACCCAGGAGGAACAAAGGCTATTTTTAAAGTCATAGAATCAGAAGTGAAAATGTCTAATTCTCGCGTGGTCACAAAAATTAGCACTTATCTTCATTTCTTCAGAATTTAACCGATTATTTAACTAACTTCGTGCTAATCCCATTATACTCTTGTATAATCTATTTTAAATTACAAGTAATTTTGAATCTATTTAAAGCCAAGTCATAGTGATTAAGATGCCTAAACATGATGTCGGCAAATTAGGATGACAGTTGCCAGTTGCAGCTGTCAAATTCATTCGTACTAAATCACACACACAGAGTTCACTTTAAACGCCTAAAATCATTTAGCCAAGGCTTTGTGTGTATTAGTGCCTCCAATTGCATACTTATATTTTCGGCAATGATATTTGTCACCATTGCAACTACCCCTTTACTACCAATCATTTGGTATTCATGAGTCATTCT